TGTGTAAGTATCTACACATATACAAAAACCATCGATAATGGTCAACATCGATGTTTTGAGTAGCCTAAACATCGAACATCGATGTTGAGCTAGCGATGCCAACATCGATGTTATTATCCCTATCTTAAAACTGAAGCCTGAGCCGTGGTAGCTCAGATGGTTAGCGCTCGCTGTAAGCTTCACAGTACTCGAGCAACCCGGGTTCGATCGCCGCCGGCACCAATGAAATTGTTAATTGCAATTTTAAGTGCTGATTTACTACGTGCTCGGCGGTGAAGGAAAACATCGTGAGGAAACCTGCATGTTTGAGAAATAAAAAAAAAAATTTCGATGACATGTGAAGTTCGCCAACACGTATTGGGGCAGTGCGGTGGACATTTCCTTGCCCTAAAACCCTCTCAGAAATGAGAGGAGGCCTGTGCCTAGCAGTGGGACGTAAATAGGCTGCAACTTTACTTTACTTAAAACTGAAAAAAAAGTTGTTTGGTATTAGAGGGATTCTGGGTATAAAACAATATCACTATCACGACATTTATTGCAGTTTTGTTACTTTTGGTCGAGTTTTGTGCTTTTGTGGGATAATTAAATATTTCAATACCTCTGTATATATACCTTACAGGCTTACAACTTCGTCGGACTCATGGGCATAAATTATTACAGTGAGTCTCAATACGATTCACCTGCGAAAAATCTTAACACCGCAATTCAGAAAAGGTTGTAATTTGTACAACGCCATCTATTACGTTCTTTGTGAGAAAACATCCTTTTTTAATTTAAGGAAAACATAATATTTTTACTGTGTTTTAAGTACTATAATAGAACGATACGAAATATATTATAATAGAAAGTTTTTTTTTACATACGAATCTTTTTATTACTATTTCTGGGATTTTGTGGCGCCATTAAACAAATTCGAACCTACATTTCAAAATAATAATCATGACTTTCGATAGAATTAACCAATTTCAATAAAACAAAGATTAAATGAACTTGATAATACGCTTTATGATTTTCTTAAGGATTTCATTGAAAAAAAAAGATGTTTACTCAAAACGTCATGCGTCCATAAACAAACAGACAGACCGTCAGATAGTACAATTCTAAAAATTATAAAAATGTACTTATTTAATGATTTACAGTCCCCATAATGATTTTAGTCGCAAATTAATATACTATACAATATTCAGAAACAGACATAACATGTAATTACCATTTTTATTATATGTATAGATTTAAGAGAGATGGCGCTGTTAACATCAATTCTAAAAATAAGAGATTAATTCACACGATTGATACAATAAAAACATAAAAGAACTTAGAAATCAGTGCCTGCATAGTAAGCAAAAAAGAAAGTTTGATCCTCGCCGAAAAACGAAATTGTTATTAGCTCTTAAAATTTGATTTACCACATAGAGTACTCGGCGGTAAAAAAATAAAAAATAAATGAGATTGTCAACACGCAGTAGGGCAGCGTGTCATTAATATAAAGGTTAGAAGCAAATATGAAACTCAACTACAGGAATAAATTTTAACCTGCCTTTTTGTATCACATTTATACCACACCACCATCTATCGATGAAATTGGTTAACTATTGTACTTTAATTTAGTTTAGATAATAAGGTTAATATATTTTGTATATATTTATTACGTTCTTTAAGTAATACTTTTGTTTACTGCGTTTTAGGTATAATTATATCATTATAGAACATTATTTTACATCATTTAATTATGATTTATAATATGATATTAATTTTAAAATGTACTTGATGACTCATCCAACGCCACTATTGAACAAATTCGTACCTATACTTAGTACCCATACTTCAGAATATTTGTCATAACTTTTGATTGAATTGACCAATTTTAATGAAATAAAGACTAAATGTAACCGGAATATACACTTAATAATTTCCTTAACTATTCTTATGATATAAATTAGTACTTTATACGTGATACGTTAACAAACAAACAGACAGACAGACAGACAGACAGACAGACAGAAAAATCTAAAAATGGTAGAAATGTATTTAATTACTTATTTTTAGTACCTCTCAATCGCTTTTATTACAAAAATATAAAATGTACAGACATCTGCTATTTACATTTTTATTATATGTATAGATAAAATCACGAAATATTTATTTATTATTCGTCTATTTATTTCAATGCATGTGACCAACAGCCCTTTCATTCACACTCTGACTGAGCCGGCGAAAACCGGTTTGTACCCCGACGGAGCGTCGGTGAACCTGTCGGTGAGAGCTCACGCACACGTCGCTGCGCTATGTGTGGGTGTACCCGAAGCGAGATGTTTGTATGTAGCTTCCCCTCTGGTCGTTTTCTTTACTCATGTGATCGTAGTGCCCAAACGGTTGAACCGATTTGGATTTAGTTTTCTTTGGTTGAGAGGTAACTTGATCGAGAGTGTTTTTAATTATGATACAAGAAAATCTGTTCGGCTGTTTGAATATTATCCGATTTTTCTTTTCGTGTCGAGGTTTTTTATAAATTTTATTTATTTTTTATTTATTTATTTACATGTTACATAGATACACCATCTACAATATCTACATGCATTGTTACAAACAAAATACAACATTTTAGACAATGGATATGTCTCTACAGGTGTATACTACATTATAAGAAAAAACTAAACTACATAGATATAAACTCTAAAACAAACAGCAATAAATTAATTAAAGTAAAAGCACCTTATCCAGTAATAGTAACAATAAATAATAGTTTAAAATCATTAAACCGGCAAATGAGGTAATAGTAAGTTTTTTTTGAAGTAGTTCTCAGAGAGTTTTTTAAGGAATTGTTGGATTGTAGGGAGCTCTAAGTCCCGATGAAGGTCGACATTACGGACATACCAAGGTGCGTTCGTAGCTCGACGACTGAATAGGTTTTGAACCATGTTTTTCTAAAACCGCCGAAACTTCTCCTGCTCCTCCCTCCATAATCCCCTTTTTCAATAATGTTGCCATATTATATATTCCCATATTGACAATTTTTACAAATATTAAAACGAAAACATTTTAAACATGAAAAGAAATAGATACTTATTATAAAATCATTCCAAAATAAAAGACAAATTTTTAAAATTTTGTAGAAATTACATGTTAGTATTGCTAACATAACATTCTGTCACTGTTAAAACTAATAACTCCCGGCCCAGCGAGGTGTTTTATGTTTAACGTGTGTATATGATGTGTATCTATGTGTCTGTCTGTGGGATCGTAGTGCCCAAACGGATGAACCGATTTTGATTTAGTTTTCTTTGGTTGAGAGGTGACTTGATCGAGAGTGTTCTTAGTTATGATTCAAGAAGATCTGTTCAGCTCTTTGAAGATTATACGACTTTTCTTTTCGTTTCGGGGTTTTTTATAAATTTTATTTATTTATTATTTATTTATTTAGATAGATAGATACACCATCTACAATATCAATATGCATTGTTTGTATGTTATGATTTGTAACTTTTTTCTTTATTATTATTATTTATTATAGTACTTCGCACATTATTTTTGAGGGCATTAGTAAATAATTCTGAATTTAGCCTTTCTCTCCTCTTACAGTTAAATTATCACACAGTTAATAAACAATATTTCAGAAACTGCATTCATTTATATATATATAAGATGTAATATATAGTTGCACTTTTAATAACTTAAAGTACCTCTAAATCCCTTATCCGATCTACAACAAAAACAAAACATTGCGATTCATAGTCGAGATGTTTATGATACATAGTCATAAGCTACTCCACGATTTAAATCTCGAGTAAAGTGTAGTATCGTTTTTCCCATGCAATTAAAATATAGCTATAACATAGAGCAACACGGTCCATCGATACGGTCGGATACATACGATCGGAGGGGCGTAGCCATAGCGATAGAACCAGAACTGGCTGTCACTATGACAATCGTCTGTCACACATTTGTCTGTACCAAGTCTGTACAAACATTTAATATAGCAGTTTTTTTAACATTCGACTTAAATATGAAGGTATACTTAATAATTTAATTTAAGTAAGAAAACTTGTAGGAAAATAGCGTGATGAATATTGCACACTCAGTGCGGGTGGTAAAATAAGGTTATACATTTTATCGGTTGATAAATAGATACTTAGTTGGATTCATCATGGCTTAAATAGGATTATCTCAAGATTTTTTCTTGAATGTACTACAGTTTCGTAATATATATATATATATATATATATATATATATATATATATATATATATATATATTATACGTACTGGTAGGTACAAATAATATGGAAATGGCTCCTTTTAATAAAATGTTTTTATTTTACTTTTTCTTTTATATTTCTCAAGAATATGTTTGCTGCAAATTGTTGAGTTCTTCTTTGGATTCTAAGCAACCAGCCCAATTAACCTTAACCATTTTTTTTCTATTTATGGAATCTGTTAGACAAACGACAAAATCAAATTTAATTTTTAGAACGCAAACCGAGCATTTATATCATTCCTCTTCTTGTTGTGTGGGCAAATCAAAAACATTCAAGATAAATATCGACCTTAAATGTGAAATGTGCAATTATCAGGATTATTTCTATTATTAACAGCACAATCACTCACAGAACAAGTAACCATTTTGGAAAAAAGTTACCTACTTACTAAAAATAACATTAGGAGCTTAATTCTTGCGTGCCGACTTGTGCCGACCTGTCATTCAAAGTCGCTTATTTGGTATCCTTTTTTATCTTGCATTTTTGCCATGAGGAATTTTCTTCTCCCTTGCACACTATGTCAGTCTATATGACAGTATATTCTAAGTCAATGCAGCAACCGCTTACCATCAGGCTCGTTTGTCACCCTATCCTATAAAAAAGACTCGGATCAGTCGCTTCACCAATCTGCATGTTGTATGAGGGCAAGCAGCATGTGTTGGAAAATCCGAAATAACACGACTGTTATTATTGTAATATTTAAGTTTAAAAAGAAGTAAGGAGCAGTAATGTGATTAAAAATTACTTATATATGAAAGGTAATGCCATCGTTTTGTAAATTTGACGTGGCAATTCTCTTTTTACTGCAAAAAACTGAACAATTAGGCATTTTTGTATGACGTCGAGTAGACCTAGACATAGGACCGCGTGGACTTCTACCTCCGATCCACGGGTGGCCCGTGTTACTCTATGAGTTATAATTGGAATAATTATACGCGGGTAGCAGAGTGAATGATTAAAATGTTTGTGAATGAAGTTCATCCCTAAAATTTTATATCGCTAATATACATCTAAAATCTTGAAAATAGGTAGCTGTCACAAGCGTCAATATCGAGTTCATAGAATATACGATTATATACAAATAAATAGCGAAAGTTGAGTTGTTAAGCCCTACTGCACCTATTTGCACACACCCGAAGCTAAGTAATACACGTATTGATTTTTTTGCGCCCGAAGCAATTGGAAAAGGGCTACCCTTTATGTAGGGAGGCGGAAATGCATTACGCATACCACGACAGCCGGTCTATCGTGGTTATGAGGGACTCACTGCCTACCGGGGGAACCTAAGAGATACCCTCTAAAACCGCCTTTGGGGACTGGCAACCAGCTGTTTAAAGCTTCTTATGCCGCATCGGAAGCGACCCTCTTTTGGGAAAAGAGGGCGCAGGCGGCTATTAGCCGCAGAAGGAGTACCTACGAAGGCAAATTAATTATGAATAACTTAATTAGAGTTGGCCTGAGCCGCCAGGAGGCAGTTCAGGTCGTTTGAAAGTTTATTAGGCGGGTCCGAGAGGGAGTTCCTCGACCTGCGGACGCTATAGCGGGAGGGGAGTGGGGCTGCATAATTAACTGCCTCACGAATAAAATGATTAGAATGCGACTCTGAGGCTTTGAAGAAGTTCTCAGAGAGTTTTTTAAGGAATTGTTGGATTGTAGGGAGCTCTAAGTCCCGATGAAGGTCGGCATTACGGACGTACCAAGGTACGTTCGTAGCTCGACGACAGAATAGGTTTTGAACTACTTGGAGTTCATTAATAATTTTAGGGTCAGCGTGGGCAAAAATGGGGCCCGCGTAGGACATGACTGGTCGTATACAGACCTTATAAAGGGTATGCTTGTTTCTGAGGGACATTTTACTGTGTAGGCCCAACATACTGTTGAGCCTACCCAGGTAAAAACGTGCGTGACGGGTTACTCTTATGACGTGGGACCTGAAAGTGAGCCTCGTGTCAAGGGTGACGCCTAAATATTTGGCAGTCGTATGCCAGGGGACAGGGGTCCCTAGCATACGTATTGGTGGAGTGTTTTTGAGTCGGCGTCGTTTATAATCGAAGTGAACGGCGGAGCTCTTCTCCGGGTTCACACCGATGCGCCATTTTTTGAACCAAGCTCCTAGGTCATCAACTGACTTTTGGATCTTGTTCCGTATGAAAGGTAGCGAGATACCTTTAAGGTATAGGGCAGTGTCATCTGAGAAGAGGGGAGCTGAACACCTTTCGACGGGATGGGTATGTCGTTGGTGAACAAAATGTACACGAGAGGAGCAAGTACTGAGCCCTGAGGGACACCAGCTTTGATGGGGCGCTGAGAAGATAGCTTGCCTTCGTGTCTAAAACGAAAGGTACGATGCTTTAGATAAGAGACCACGAGACGTACTAGACGATCGGGGAGACCTATTTTGTATAATTTGTAAATAACACCTTCGTGCCAGACTGTATCAAAGGCTTTAGCTATGTCGAAAAAGACCGCGATGGTCTTATGACGAGGATAAAAACCACTGAGGATATATTCCACAATACGGTGAACTTGTTGGGGACAAGAGTGTTTCGCTCGGAAACCGAATTGATGGGGGATGATATGAGGGTCACCGTCTGTGGGAAACAGATGGCGCCTTATGCGAGTTTGGATAACTCTTTCGAAGAGCTTGCCCATAGCCTTGAGGAGGCTAATGGGGCGATGACTGGAGGGGAGGTTGAGAGGCTTGCCTGGCTTGGGAATACCAATCACAGTTGCCTCTTTCCACGTAATGGGAAAGTAACTAAGGTTGAAGCAGGTATTGAAGACAATAGATAAAAGGGTTAGCACCTGCTCAGGAAAGTGTTTTAGGGCTTGGTTGGAGATGCCACCCGCCCCCGGAGCCTTTTTAAAAAAATCCTTTTTAAATCTCATCATTGGACACAGAGATAGGTTCTGAGGCTATAGGAGGTGAGTTCCGGCGGCAAACCTCATCCTCCACTGCCTGGACGTGTGAGGGGTCGACGGGTTGAGAGCTAGGAGAGCATTGAGCGGCAATGCTGTCTGCAAAGCACTCAGCCTTTTCCTCGTCCTCGAAGGCTACCGTACCGTCAGGACAGGAGAGAGGGGGAGTGTGGGTGATAGCGTCTATGCGGAGGGCTCTTGCCATCTGATAGTACGCTGTATGAGAGGGAGATATATTCTCCATGAGCTTACTCTTTTCGAGGTCTCGAAATTCAGAGAGGCGGAAACGGAGTTCTCGTTGAAGACGATTGGCCGTGCGCTTATATTTGGGCGTGGGATATTTTGCTGCTCTCCGGAAAGCAGTTTTTTTGGCTATTATTATTAACAACCGGGACGACCCTTTCATTCTCCTTAAGGGAGGTTTTAATAAGGATGGAGAGTGAATCGACTGCGGTGTCGATTTTTTCGGGACTGTCTAAGTCCGACGATAGGGAGATGGGGGAGCCCTGTGAGTCCAGAGCTTTCGCTAGGGACTCCTTGAAGCCCTTCCAATTTGTGAAGGTTTTAGTAGAGGGTGTTGAGGGGGGTGGCTGATGGCCAAGAATGAGGGAGACCGGTCTGTGGTCGGATCCTAGATCGTCTAGTGTCTCGATTGCCCTGAGGTTGAAGGAAACACTTTTGAATAGTGCAAAATCTAGCACGTCGGAAGCGTAATCGGTGATATCGGGATAGTGAGTAGCACCGAGGGGACTGTGGACGGTAAGGTCAAGAGACTGCGTGATATCGAGCAGTATCCTACCACTACGTGAAGTAGTACGGCATGTCCATTCAGTATTGACGACTCGCCACACTTGATATACGCATTAGAAGTAAGAAGTTTAAATCCACTTTATTTATGGGCTAATATTATTTTTAAATAAATAATATTTGATAAAGACATTCCTTATGTTATCATTGATTGACATTGCAATGTACATTGATCGAAATATTAAATGTATTAATGGATTGATTTATTCATAACTATTACACAATGTTCACTAAAAACTAGGTACAAACACCACCAAATACATAGAGTTCATCATAACCATAATCATAATTACAGCCTTTCACAAGTCCACTGCTGAACATAGGCCTTCCCCAAGGCACGCCACAAAGCACGATCCTGAGCCACCTGTATCCATCGACTTCTTGCATATCTTACCGAGTTGTCGATGTATCTAGTGGGGGGCCGCCCTATATTCCAATAGTAGTAATAGCCCTAATATTCCAATAGTATTAAAATTGCTGGAATTTAAATAAAATGTCATTAACTAAATAAATAAATAATATTACAAATTTTAGTAATTAAATTTATTAAAACTCATCATTAGAAAACTATCCTGACTATTTGTAACACTAGTTAAATTATAGTAACTAAGCAATAGTTATTTAAGTTATATCACAGAATAAATTGGTTATATCAAATAATAACGAGTGAAGTTAGTCACATTTAATTGTCTTTGATAGCCTGAAAATAGCGTGGCAGAGCTACGCTGCAGCTTATAAGCATTATATTATGGTTGGAATTATTAATTAGTTGTTTTCTTGATAAATGTGGGTGTCTATGTGTCACAGCGTCCACTTATCTGTGCTCATTTGTCACCCTTATTCTATATACAAAAAAGCCAAGGCTATATATACCGATTCATTGATATTTCGATATAACTGGCACCATTCTCGGCAGGCGTGTGTGTAGAGACAGCTCCGATACTTCCTCGATCGCTGTTCACCCTAGATTGCTCCTGCAGCAGGCAAGTGAATAGCCGCCATAAGTCAAATTTACGCTTGACGCGTTTCGTTTCCATATCATCGCACGCTAAATCATTAAGTGACAGAGTCGTACGCGAAAGTAGTGACGGTGTGTCACGGAATTGATCTGTAACTGTACCGTGGGCCGCAAACGGCGTCGGAATTGGCGCCTATCTGCCTAAACACCAGGGAGCACGTCGTAGCGGTAGCGAAGCCGGCAGGGAGCTGCGGCGCGGAACGTGCGTGGCAGGGGCGGAGGAGGTCTTGGGAGGCGTGCGCTTGAGAGACATTGTTGATTGAGGGGTACCAGGCGCGCAGAATCGTAGCATTACCGAGGAGCCGACTTGTAGTATAGTTGTTAGCACGCTACGACACACTTTTGATGTTTGCTACGTCTCAGTGTGCGGGACTAAAACACTAAGGCTGAGATCTATAGATGGTACTTTGACTTTGCTCAGACTTATCTTACGAAAAACTTAGCTGAGTATATGCTAAGCATAATCTTTGATTCTGTATTTATAGTTGTATCGGGCTAAGATTAAGCTAAGCTTATGCTAAGGCCCAGACAGTCCAAATATTAACAGTATCCCTTAATATTTGGACTGTCTGGGCCACATTTTCATTCATTCCACGCAATATGTTTTTGACTTTACTGTATAAAATAATATATATATACATATATATATATATATATATATATACATATATATATATATATATATATATATATATATATATATATATATATTAAAATCAAAAACAGTCCAAATTGTATTTCATAAATAAGTTATTATTACATGATACATTACATATTACAATTACTATTTATTATAATAATTAATTAGAGTAACATAAAAACAACAATTTAAAATTAATACGGTCGTTTTGAATAATATCCTGAGTTTTACATAAGTCGTTGATATCGTTGACTTAGGCTTTGCTAAGCGCGCACTCATCACTTCACGACTTCTAAGTTAGCTCTATAAATACCGACATTGTCTTAGCTCGAAAGTAAAGTCTGAGCAAAGTCAAAGTACGTTCTATAGATCTCAGCCTACGACTACGGTACGGTTTCGTTACTCATG